AATAAAAATTAATTGTTATTGTGTGATTAAATGTGTATTATAAATATATGTATATATTTTATTCGGTTAATATTTTAATTGTCTTGCGATCTTCCGAGCCGTTAAATTTTATTTATTGAAGAAGCCGGATTATATTTTTTGTTTTATCAAGCCCGAGAACCTGCGAGCGTCTAACGGACCGAGAACCGGCCCAGCCCGAGCCCATATTTTCTCATCCTGTGCGTGTGTGTGCGTGAGATTTTATCTTGGGGACCAAGAAAATTCCTAAACCTAATCTTCATGTTTAAGTAGGATTAAATCCCTTAGCGTTAAAAAAAAATTTCTCCCTGCAGCCACCTTTCTTCATTGATATCTTGCTCGCAATATCAGAAAACCATCAATCTGCTCCCTCTTTTCTTTTCTTTTTCCTCGTACCGATCAAATCCCTAGCAGAAAAGAAAAAACAAATTCTCTCCCTTCATAATCATTGTTTTGATCGAACCAGCATCTCTTCCACCATCTGCCATCATCATCATCATTGTCCATCATCACCATCCCCAGCGAGTCGTGAACCAGTCCGGCAAGCTCGCTGCCCCTGTTCGCCGCCGATCATCACCACCATCGACCTTCGTGCCTCCTCCGTTGGACCGTCGCTGCTCGTTGCCACCATTCCTTGCATGTCGCAGCCCTCGAGCTCTCCTGTTCATGTCGCGTCGCCACCCTTCAAGCTGATCACGCCAGGCCCCGTTGTGATCGTTGCTCTCTCGGCTAGCAGTCCCGAGCCGCTGCACCTCCGTTCCGGCGAGACGCGTGAAGCCGTCGAGCCTTGGTCCCGTCAACCCCGTTCGTGTCCTACGTCCCATTTCTCTGAGTTTTTCCCGAGAACGGTACCGAGGCCCAAATTCTCTTTCATTTATTTCTTACATGTTTATTAGATGTGTTTATTATGTGCTGTGAATATATAAATGCCTATGATTTTATGTGTTTGTAATTAGTTCGTTATATATATTATTGTGTAGACGAGCCCTTTGATTTTGAGAAATCAGACGAGACCTCGTCATTCGTGTTTAAGTTACTGTGGAATGGAACAATTTATCATCCTTGGTCTTATGGTGAAGACCTCGGGCGATTTCATAGTGAATCGAGTCTTAGGGAAATTGTCGAACTTTTTTAGTGGCTGTTTTTGTAATAAAATAATGATAAATTTCTCGCTTGTCCGATTGTCTTGAAATTTTAACTGTAGTTGTCTCTGTTGATTTTATGGCTTGTGTAAAAGTTCATAAATTTTCACGGCATGTAGCTATTTTAAATAATTAAAGTGATTTCTGGGCAGAAATGTGTTAAATTCTTAATAAATCGGTCCGTGCTCCAAAATTAATGAAATTTTAGTATGTTGTCTATATGTACAATTTTATTATTGTGTAAGACTTTTAGAATTTTTGCACTGAGATTGATAGGGCAAATAATTTATTTACGGTTTCTGCATAAAGATGTCTTAATTATGATAAATTGGTGAATTGCTCAAAACTTCTGATTTTTGGCTGAGGTGCTTATTTTATGTGTAGTTTCATGATGTAAGAAGATTAAAATTTTTTGGAGTTCAAACTGTGTCGGTTTTAATTAAAATTCGATAAACAACTGAAACTTGTATGAGTTTTTTAAATTTGTGTACTTAATTTTAATTGCTGAAATTTTTATATGTTGGTCCTTAGTTACTGAACTTGCTTCAGTAATAATCTCATGTGCTAGTTTGTTCGTTAGGTTGGGCTTTGAATTTTAGGCTCATTTTTACTGATATCGTATTTGAATTTTATAAAATTGTGTATAATGAGTTTGGGGGTGAAACTTGGTGGTTTTACTAAGTCTAGGGTGGAGAATTTATGTTCAAGTTTCAGAACCCAACTCATGCGGGAACTTGATCAACCTAATTATGTGATATATCATTTTCTATTTCTCAAAAATATAGTTCTTGTGTTAAAAACTATAAACCGGATTTCTTGTTGTGGTTGTGACTTGTTTGAACTATCTTTTATGTGATATTTACGTGAACTCCCGTGTTTGGTTGTTAGAGTCTAAGTCCTAGAGCTCCAATATCCACAGGACATCACGAACCACTTGGTCGAATCAAGTTCGGCTAAGTAAAATTTGTGATTTTCTACTTTGGTCTAGATAAAGCATTGACCTTAGTATTTGGACTCATGTAGGTGTTTGACAAGTTGTGCCTCGACTGCCTACTGCTTTTCTGGTTTTATTGCTTTACTCCGGATACCAGGTGGGTTTATTTATAAAATTGTCTATGCCTTGAATTGTGAAATTTGTTTTCTTATTTGGGTATGATCAAAGTATGAAATGTGAATATGTAACTTTCGGCGTGAGCCGTATCGGCCATCGAACAGTATCCCCGTTGTTATAAAACATACCCCGAGTGGTCAATCTCATCCTTGTCCTTCGCAAGGACCTTGGCATGAGCCTTGGTCGGTGATGGATTTCCTACCTAAAACCCTGGGGGGTGTTCGACCTGTCTAATACCCTCGGGGTTCACAGTAGATTTCCATCTAAAACCCTCGGGGTTGACGGATGACCCTCCTACTTTGGCAATGTTAGAGTTCCCGCGAGGAGACGATACGTGGACCAAATGTAGTCTATTATGATAGGTGTGCACATGAGATATAATCGATTCTGGGTAGGAGATGGGAGAATTTTTTTTCTATGTTCATACTTGTGACCATGCTATATTTACTTTTGTACTCACTTATTATAATTGTTCATGCGCATAGCGGTGAGCACAACGGATTCTATCTGTGCTCATCCCCACCTGCTCTTCATGGATGCAGGTTAAGCCGGCGGCTGCATGGCGGCGAGAGACGAGTGGTGGTCAGTCGCTTGATCGGACCTTATTGTGTAGCTTCTGCTTGCTATTATATTATGATTTTTTTTTGTCATCATGTTGAACTCTGGATTATCTATGATTTGAGAAATGCAAACACTGGTTGGGGAGATGCCACGTTTGCTAATAATCGATTTTGGAACTTTGTTAAAAACCTGTGAGGGTGGTTTCAATTTGACTCTGGGTATTTGACGATGTTTATATTACTTGCGATTAATTAATATGTGAAAGTTCGTAATTGTTGATTTTATGTCAAGTAATGCCAAACGATTTATGAAAAGAATTTTAAAAAGGCGTTACACTCGTACTTGCCCTATATGTGCTTGACCATCAGCATTGAGTCCGAGTAAATGATTAGGTCGGTCAGGCTCATCGCTTCTGCTAGGGCCATCTCTGACAGCAGTGACTCGTATTCGGCTTCGTTGTTCGTCGCCGGGAAGAGGTATTGAATTGAGTGGCAAAACAGTCTCTTTTAGGGATCTACGAGGATGAACCCTTCGCCTACCCTTCCGGCGGTGGATGAGCCATCGACGTACATTACCCAAGGCTCGTCTTCTTTTTCCTCTTCGACTCCCGACGTGAGCTTGATAATGAAGTCAGATAGTACTTGCCCCTTTCTTGTGGTTCGGGGCTGTAAACGGACATCGTATTGCCCTAACTCGACTTCCCACTTAATCATGCGGCCTGAGGTATCGGGTCGATGTAAGATTTGTCTCAAGGGAAAGGAAGTGAGGACGGTCACAGCGTATTCGAGGAAATAGGGTCTAAGCTTTCGGGCAGCCATCACGAGTGCATAGGTCAGCTTCTCCATGGGTCCATACCTCAGCTTCGCATCATGGAGAGCTTTGCTTACATAGTAGATAGGGTGTTTGCGTGAATCCTCTTCTCAGATCAACTTATAGCCACTTGGGACACGCCGAGGTAGACGTACATTCTCCTGGTCAGGGTTTCTGCATGGTGGGTGGTCGGCCCAAGACGTCCTTAATTGATTCCAGAGCTTGTTGGCACTCCGGCGTCCATGAGAACTTGTGATTTTTTTTATAGCTTCGAAGAATGGCTTTCACTTGTCGGTTGATTTAGAGATGAATCGGCTTAATGCTGCTAGCTTTCCTGTTAGGCTTTGGACCCCTTTAGTCGAGGTCGGCGGCCTAAGATTTTGTATTGCTTCGATCGTCTTGTTATCAATGCCGCGTTGACTAACTATGTAACCCATGAACTTCTCAGACCCGACGTCGAAAGTACACTTTTCAGGATTTAGCATCATGGAATAATCACGCAAGATAGAGAACATTTTATTAAGATCGTTCACATGGTCGGACGCGTACACAGACTTGACGAGCATGTAGTCTACATAGACTTTCATACTATCACCTATTAGACTAGCAAACATCTTATTGACTAAGCGCTGGTAGGTGGCCCCGGCATTCTTCAGTCCGAGCGGAATCATCTTGTAGCAATATGGGCCTCATGCCGAGTAGAAGGATGTGTGCTCCTCGTCATCCGGGTGCATGGGGATCTGGTTGTAGCCCGAATATGCGTCCATGAAGCTCATCATCTCGTGCCCAGAGGTAGCGTCGACCATATAGTCGATGTGGGGGAGCGGATAGCTGTCCTTTGGGCATGCTTTGTTTAAGTCAGAGAAATCAATGCACAAGCGTCAGGCCCACTATTATTCTTGACTAGT